GGCGGAGGCTCATGCTGCTGCGTGCTGCTCGTCTGGTGGCTCCTGCCACTGAACCCACTGCTTGTTCAGGAGGGCATGGGGGGCATATGCCCCTGGACCTGTGCAAGGCAAGGCTGGGGCTGCACCAAGCTATGCTCTGGGTGGGTGGCGGCAGTGCTGGGAGTGGGGGCTATACTCTCCTGCCACTTGCCCAGCCGGGGCAGGATGGGCATGAGACGGACAAGCGGTGCGCAACGACAGGACTGGCCCCTCCCTCCCCACACCCCCCAAATGAGCTGTGGCTTTGTCCTGGTTGGGTGAGCGGCAGCAGCGCATGGAGGGGGCGGCGGGGGGGGGGGAGGTGTGCTTGCCCCAGCCCCAATCCCAGCTCAAGTCCCCCCCTCACCAGGTGGAGGACTGATCTGCCCCCCCATGCCCCTTCCCTTCACCCTCTCCTTCCACCAGAACACGCTTACCAGCTGGATACAGCTGCATCGACTGTCATAAAGTTGAAACCCACGTCAGAAAGTTGAAACAGGGTGTCAATTTATAAACGTTGTGACGTTCTTTGCAACTCGAAATGTCATAAGTTGAGGACTGCCTGTATACTAATCAATATTAGTTAACAGGTGACTTGAATAAAATGGCAACTCCCTGGCTTCCATACATGGACAAAATGACCCTTTCACTCCTAACACAGGATGAGGTCATATATTTAGACATATCACCAAGTAGAGAGATAAACTCAAACAAAATTTAGCTTAAGGAGAATCTTTTATATGCCTTCTCTCCCTCTTCTTAGTTTGACAATAGATGTCAAAGAAAAAGGTTCCTTACAGTATCATGCTTCCAATGATATTCAACTCTGTGTGAATGGACATAAGTTACACTGGCACTGCTTTTGGCAGGCCAAAGAACTGGGAGTGAAAAATCAGGTTCGCTGACATTATGCAATGGGGTTTTCCATTCATTTTTTCAAATTGCTTTATTTCTGAAAGATTGTAAGAATGAAGACGTTCATGCCCAGAGAAACAGTGAATGTAATATATTAAGATTAAGAATCAGCTCATTTGTCAACATAATGCAACTAACACTGGGGTAAAGCATGGCCTTTATCTTACAATGGATAATTCCACAGAACACAGCTTTTGATATAAAAGAGGTAAAATATTTATTAAGCAAACTTTTTAGGGGGAATTTTAGATTGGAAGAATCTGCAGCAGGCCTGTAAAACAGGGATGGCCTGATTTGCAAAGCTGAGTACTTTCACTTGAATGGTGGCCAATCAGCATTTCTGAAAACTGAAACTATAATATGGCTTCTTTTAAAAAACAAGAATAGCAAGCCAGCCATTTCTCAAATGAGTTGCGGCCTGTCTCTGGGTTCAGATCTAAGAAAATATTATTTATTTAGATTTCCAAGTCACAACCATCTGTATTAGGAAGGTACAGGAATTTTTACCAAGGGAACTAGTAAATGCACTTATGTTGTTTTTGCAAGATAATGAATCATTTAGGTCCAATTTGCACAGCTACCATGAGAGAGCAAGCGGCATAAATAAAGCCTTATTGCTGGACAATTGTCATGCTTTACTGCCTTAAAAAGCCAAAAAAAACAACCCTCCCCCAAAAAAAGCACCAAACAACCGAACTCACTGCTGTATAACAAAAGAAGAAGAAAGCACAACCCTGAGGCTCCCCCTCAATGAAATTAAGCAAATCATTAAAATTTATGCCAGCTGAATTTTTCTGGTTATCTATTATCAGTGGCCAGGATCATTTATGCATTATGGAATACCTGCAGCCTTCTCAACTAAACAGCTTTTGAAATTAATTTTCTAAAATGTGCATGGGGATTTAGAAGTTCAAGGAGAACTGGGTGGACTAAACCTTGTATACCAAACTCTGGTGCTCCTCAATCTGAATTGACTTGCACATATGCACAGGAAGGCACAGCACACATGTGCACACACTTTTGTTTCCAGCATCCTCCCTCCAAGATCACCATCTTTTTCTTAACATGTTCTTTCATCTTCTGAAATCTCCTTCAGTATTTAAGGGCCAGCTTCCCCCGTTTACTCGATTTAGTGTATGCCTGACTGTTGCAGAGCACTGAGGTGCCCTGCTCCTTTAAAGAGTGGAAGCTGCTAGGGAAAGAGCCCTAGCAGTGAGTGGGGAGCCCCAGCTGCTGGTTACCAGGGCAACCAGAGTGAGCTAGTGGCCCACGCCTGCCAGCGGTCAGCTGACCGGAAGGGGCGGGGCCTGGCTCACATAAACCCCAGGGCTGAGGCCAGGACAGCAGTTCCCTGCCAGCAGCCAAGGGGGAAGGAGCTCTCCTAGCGCAACTAAAGGGGAGAGGCCTGACTGCAGGTACAGCCTCTGATACTGGTAAGGGACAGAGCATCCCTGGTGCGGCTTGAATTATGTTATAGCCAGACAGCTTGAATTTATGTTATAGCCCAGGGGCTTGTGTTTTGTTTGCTGTTTAAGACTGGTGGCTTGGGTGAGGCTATTAGGGGATGGAGGCGGCCTCATAGGGGACCCACGGCAGCGTGGGGACCCCAACGCCAGAGACGGCACAGCATTTGTGGTGCACCGACCCCAGCGCCAGCGAAGGTGCAGAGCGAGACAGGGCTGCAGAGAGCCCGAGGAGGACTAGGGGCCAAATTTATAACAAAGCCCAGACTGAACAATGTCAGTTCCACCTGCAAGGCTTGGGGCATGGTAAAGGGGTGGCTGGAGCCACGCATAGCCCATAAGGCTAGGGTGCCCTGAAACACCCATTGCAGAACGGGACCCAAAAGGGGTCCAGGAGCCCACGGGGTCAGAGTACAGCAAAACTGTGTCCAACGTGATGTAAAGGCAGCCTCCCCATTATATATTTACCATCAAAGATGTGGCGGGTGAGAATCAAGGGTTCCCATTGGGCTAACTTGGCACGGTAAGGGGGCCTTGGGAAGATCGTGGCCATCCCACAGGACCCCATCCCATGACACTGACATTCTGCCCCGTATCTTCCTACATGCCTATCACCTTGTCCATGCCTTTAGCTTGTAATGCCTTTTAGAATGCATTGCTTTGTTGAAACTACTTTCAGCACTGTAAAACATCATGTACAACTAAAGCACTGTATGAAAATCAATACACTGTTGTATAATACGTATATAGTTTAGTATTGTGTGCATATATTATATATATTACATACACACTAATATAATATAGTACCCAGAATGATGGCATAAGTCCATGCTGCCAATAAGTGGGAAGAGTCATCTCTTGCATGGCTCGAACCACAACTTTTAGGATGCTTGGGTTAGAGGAATACTATGTCTCAGCTTCTGATCTTTGTAGGAAAACAGATGCAAATTGTTTGTCAGGACAAATTGGCAACAGCTGAATGCATCACTTACACTCGAGTGTAGCCTGCCAGCCCTTTAACCTACCTGACAAGCAGGGTCAAGGTCCATTTTTCTTCGAAGGAATTTCTCCACGTGTCCAATTGTTGCCTCTCCTGAAACTCGCACAAACTTCTTTTCTAATGGCTGCAGAAAGAACAAGTAGCAAAACAACAATTTCAGAATATTGAACATTTTCAGCCAAGGTCCTTTCAGATATAGCCAAAGAAATTCTCTGTAATTTCTGTTCAAAGGTCCCACACAATGGCTAGAGAGAGCTAGATTAGATTCTCTTCTGTTCTAGTCCCAAATCATTTTAGCATCATATATATATAAAAAAAGACTTCAAGGGTCCAATTAATCTCCTTTAAAATCAGTGTCACAACCCCAGTAATTGCACAAGGAACAGAACAGTCCTGTATTTTTCCTGCAGTTTGTGTAGTAACTAGGCAGCAAAGAGGTGCGACAGCAATTTAATTTCTGTGCTGTGGGAAATTGTATTGTACAATATTTTAAAGTACCATTTTTCAGCAAACATCAGAGGTACAAAAGGAGGCTTTATAAAACTATGGTGTTTTCAGGACCTAAGACTTTGTAGTGGGATATTAAGAATATAAAATTCTCTGGAATTTCCTGCTTTTTTTTTTTCCTCATGTCTTGTAAGATACGTTTTGGTTTTGCTCCAATAAGAAGAGCATCAGCTGAATTAATAAACATGTTGCTGCAGAGAATAAGTGTAAGACTAGTTTGGAAGATTTAGTGACCATTTGCAAGTACTTCCACAGTGAGGATTACAGCAATAGGATATTTACTATGCTAGTTTTGCAGATTTTTTTAAATTTAATTTTTCTTTTTATAGATCAAGTACAATAGCACTGCCTGATGATTTATGTGGATACAAAAAGAGAAGGCAAAACAGCTAAGCAGGCTGCTGCATTCAACATAGATTTCCTTTTGTCCCTATAAAGTACATTTTACATTAACTTGTGAATAGTTATGATTTACTGGCCAAACTTCAAGCAGGAAGAGTAAGTAAAGGTCAAAGGGGGAAAGTTTAAAATTAGGGAGGGAAGAAGAGGAAGTGACAGCAGGTATGTGAATGGGGTGATATTAAAGATGCAGTAAAGAAGCTGAAAGTGATGTAGAAAAACTGCCAGAGAAGGGATTCAAGGTGGTTGCAGAGGTTCTTGATGATCAATTTTACCACCTCTACACATGCTCAGTCCACGAATAATCCTACTGAAATCAATGGGACCATTTGTGGAGTATAGGGCTGCTCATGTGAATACAGGCTCACAGACCCTGACTGCAGAAGCCTAAACTTAAAATTGAGTCTCTGGTGAATGTTACTGGAGAAAAATCTTTTATCGTTTAACTTGGAGGCCATGCCATTAGAAACAACCAAACAAAAACCCGCATTACAACTATCACCTTTAGGGTAAATGAACCAAAAAAAATCCCCCTCCCCTCCCAAAACAAAACCCAACCAAACAAAGCTTTATACCCGAAAGTATTTATATCTGAAAGCTTGGAAAGAAGAATTTTTCCAACTATATGAGTTGGTCTAATAAAAGATATTAAGTTTACCTGAAGAACCTGGTCTTCAAACCAAACAAAAAACCCCCCCCCCCCCCCCCCCCCAGAAAAAAAACCCAAGTAATTTTTAAAAAATCAAAGATTGTCTCTCCCTGTCTGTGATTTGCTGTCTTTGCTTGAATATTAAAAACAGATTAACTGGTTTCTTTCTTGCTTCTACTCCATCTCACTTACAGGTTCTCATGCATTTGTACAAATATGGCAGAAGATTATTTGTTTAAAAATATACTACTGGAATTAAAGAAAAACATCTTATGGAATGTTATAATAAGCTAATCTTTTATGCAACGGAAACATGTCAAAATTGACTAATTTTCCTCAATTTTTTTATATATAAACACAAACCTCGCTATTCCCAAAAGGAAATGCCATGACACAAATCATACAGTTCTCAAGTTGTAGGTCAACTCTAAAGCTAAGCCAGGTTAGATGTAGCTAAGAACACATATTCCAAGATTATGCAAATAATGACAACACAGATTAGCAGACAGTCATAACAAATAGCACATTTAGCTCTGATGGGTATTTCTTTGTACCCCAAGCCTACAAGTAGGTGGCTTCCTTTGAAGCTATTACATGCACTGCAAGGCAGCATTTGCATGGTTTAGAAACTTAATATCAGAGCAAGAGAAGATGCATGCAGAGTAACTGCCATCCATAAGGCATCTTGGCTTCAGTAAATGGTTTCCAATTCCATTTTAATGGCATTTTTTTTTTTTATTACCCTGTAAAGTGTTTCTGTTACAAGATGTAAACAAACATCTGGCACAGACACATCTTTCAATGCTCAAGAATTTAATAAAATGACTGAATTGCTTTCAGTTAAATTTGGTTTCAAAAGACAATTACTGTACTTGTGCAGTGAAACCAGGCACCTTTCTTTAAGCTCAATAATGAAGAGGATGAACAAAGATGTGTGTGTTGGGGGGGGGAGAGATCAACTGCGGGTAAAAAGAATCAATAAAATAAGGTCAAGGAGTTGAAAAAAGAAACAATGCCAGAGACAAAACCAAGGAAGTTAAAAGAAGGACACTGAAAAAAGAAGGAATTGGCTGGAGATATTTTCAGGAAGGTGGCCTCCCTTCTACAGATTAATTTCTCACTCAAAAGAAATTGTGCTCTTAATTCAATTGTGAAATCATTTAAGTGCTTTGGGAAAGGGACTGGCTTGTTTCTAGGCCTGTGCTCTGCCAAGCAAAACAGCCCCATTTCTCACTTGGCAGCTAATAATACTAATGGTATTATTATTGCTATTATTACTACTACTGATATTAAGTAGCTGCACCTGATCTATAACTATTCAGATTTGTGCTTGCAAACACACAGGACAGAAATCATCTCAGATAAAAATAGACCCAAAGAAGAAAAGGATACAGAAACTGTAACAATTTAGATGCCTTAAATGTAAGTAGTCTAGTAAAATATCGTTCCCATCTCTAAATATTAAGGCCGCAGATTTAATTGCAAATTGTAATAATAAGCTTTTTTTTTTTTTTTTTTTTTTTTTTTTTTTTTTTTTTTTTTTTTTTTTTTTTTTTTTAATAACAAGTTATCCTGTGCTGACCATATCTTTTTATTCCCAATATTCTGCTGCAATAAAAGTTCACATGAAGACAAGACTACATATTTTTAAGTTATAGTCAGAGCCAAGAAGCAGTTATAACCTTTTTTTTTTAAGGTTCTTAACTAAATACTGAAACACTCTCAGTACCTCTCTAATTACAGCTTTTCCAGTGACAAAGGCAGTAAGCAATGTCCCATTTCATACTGTGAGCCCATACTGATTCAGCACAGAAGATGCAATTATATTTGACCCTATATATTGTGATGCGACTTAAGCTAAAATATGGAGCTGGATTTCTTTTTCAATTCAATAGGAAATGAATGTCCTCTAGAGAGAACTTAAGGGAGAAGTGAATTAGCTGTCGGCTGGGGAAGTCCATTTAGCTGCCTAACAAATATACATAAATATGCCTTTATGCATTTCATTTTTTCCCTGGAGTTATTTGTTACAACTCAAATCTACTGCTTGTTGGTTGACAAACATGCATACAAAATTCTGTCACTACACTGCAGGGATTTTTTTAAACTGTGTTTCTGAGGACAGTTACCACCTTGTACAGAATGCCAAATAAAGACATACACAATAATGTCATGTCTCTCAGAGAAAAGCTGGAGCTCCAATCAACTCCAGACTAGGGAAGGGAAGTTTTAATATGGTTTCTGTTTCTCCCATACTAAAATGTTATTCACTTGTCTTTGCAATTCCACCCTGTGCCAGTGGCCACGGATGAATTTGAAAGCAGGTCATAACCCAGTACTGCTGAAACTAGATTTTCTATCAAGGTGAACCCTTAGCGCAAAGGAATTCTTGTACTTTCCTGCATCAAACACATGCCGTATTTCTGGAAGGCTTCAAATGCAAAACGATTTTACCCTGAAATATGGGTAAGTACCAAAGGTCCAGGGCTTCCAGGGATTGGGGCCATGCACTGGGGCTGGAGGCTTGGGAGCTGGGGGTCACATGGTAAGGCTGGAGCCATGTGGCAGGGCCTGATCTTTCCATAGTGGGGCTCAATCCAGCCACTGCAGGGCTGGGGATTGGGGGGGGGGGCTTTGGAATCAGTGTCTGGGGTCTGGCCAAAGGACAACCCCACACACCAGCCGAATTTAGTGCATTACTAGGGAGGGTGGCTCCCATGGGTCTGAATACGTGGGTGGGGAGGAGGGGTGGGGGCAATTAATGATGCTAGAACTGTGCCCCCAACACCAACATCCAGACCCATGTGAGACACTCTTCCTTGCATATAAACATGTATGCCAATTTTCTGCATCTGGTTTGGGGGAAAAGATGTAAGACATAGATGAGAAAAATAAGGTCAATTAGGGTCAAGTCATCCACATTTTTCAGGTAAATCATAAGGGAAAAAAAATTAAATCAAATTAAATTTAAATTCAAATCCATACCTTAAAATTCCCCGTGCCTTCATTAGCTCTGAAAGACAAGAAAACAGTAAACGTAATCAGTATCACTAAAACGCACGTTTATTAGCATGCTAAGGCTCCTACACTGAGCTACAACAACAATCCCTTTATGTGTTTTTATATTTAAGCCAGTCCCTTCACAGTGGAAACGCACACAAAAGACATGTTCCATAGACACTAAAGCAAAGGTGGCCAACCTGCAGCCCATAGGCTATAAGCTGCATTGGCAGCATGTGTGTGGCACAGGACAGATCAGGGAGGGGGCAAAGCAACTCAGTGGCAGGTAGGGCAAGAAGCAGAAAGCAGAGCAACAGATGGGCAAGGAGCACACGGTGAAAGCAGAGAGCAGAGCAGCAGACCAGGTAGGGGAAGGGGATCAGAGTGGAACTTGAGGGGTGCAGGATTAACTTGCAGCACACCTGCCCAGTGAGGGCCAACCTCTTCACTGAAGCATCCAGATACAATATTAGTTTTTAACGACTGGCTTGGAACAAAGTACCTCATAATTAGGGGGAAAAAATGGTTTCCAAATGTTTAAAAAAAAAAAAAAGCAGTCCACATATTTATATTGCACTATCACTGGTATCCAAGACAATGAGACATATTGCCTCAGAGAGCCCTCTCAGTCATCACAGATCTCTGAGCCTAAATGCTGATCATACACATAATGTTTATATTGATCCAGGCTAGGAAAGATGAACAACGGCAAATGCCTCAGAACATGACACAAGCGCACAAAAAAGACAGTGCCAAGTTCCCGGTTGTAGTAAATCAGAGTGACACGGGCTTCAGCCAAGTTGCACAGATTTGGTACAGAGACCTTGCTGGCTCATTGGACACATCGAGGTGATGAAAAGGGGGTAAAGAAGATCTCCAGCTCAGAGATCAACATAAGGGCAGGGATATGCCGAATTTTGCCTTTTGAGAAACTTCAGAAAAAGGATGGCCTTAAAACAAACCTAGCCCTGTTCCTCAAGCCTTGCTACGTGTGTGGCACAACAGGAAGTGTGTGAAAGAAGAAATATGGCATCTCCTTTGTCTTGGAAAGGGTAGACTTGAGTACTACCCTTCAAATGACTGTGGATTATAATTACTACTGTCCATTCAGACAGATAGGAAAAAAAACCTCTTTACAATGCCTGCACACCAAGTCCCAGCTCAAAGTCCTGGATTGACACATGGAGGTATCATGGCCTCTAAAGTATGTACCTGTCGTGACACGGAGCTGAATAAAAACACTACAATCAGCAGCTGAAATGTATTTTAAAAGATTAATAGCCTCTTCCTAGATAGGCGGATGGCAACATACTTGCAGGCTGGAATGCTAATCTGCCAGAACGCCTCCGTCTATGTACAGTCTCTAAGCGGGTCTCAGAGTCTCACACAACCCATGTCCAATGTTTGAAGAAAAAAAAAAAAAATATGGTCAGAATGCAAAAAAAAAAGATAGCAAAAAACATTTCCATTCCAGAAGTGGGGCTCTCTGATCAACTTCTAGCACAAGAAAAAAGTAGCTGTTTCTGAGGACTGTGAGGATATACAAGAAGAGATTTTTAATCCAAGAACTATCACTGGTTAGTCCAATCTACCTGTTCTCCAGTTTACTGAGATTTCAGTCTTTTCCCTCATTCTCCTCATCTCCAAGACAAGTTACTTCTGATTTTAACTTCTAAAGAGGAAAGCAAAGCAATTCTTAAATATCTGCCTGAGGACAAAGGTTAAAAAAACAGTCTTTCTTGCACCCAAAAGCAGCACTTAATATAAAAATAATCTTCCAGTTGAAATGACTAAGTCTTCTCCTATTTATTTACTTCCTGCACTTCACTCGTACAGACACTAAAGCCAGGCTGGACGGATGCACAGTGCCTACTCAGCACCTGTGTAGCGCTGAATTGTTTGGGTAGCAAACACTGGAAGGGAAGCTTAAAGACCCAGACCAGCGGAAAAAACAAATTACATTTCATTGATGTAAACATAGCATATTTCTGCAAATCTGAGATGACTGAATTTAAGATGCCTCCCCAATAATTAGATTCTATGCATAAAAAAAGAAGTTATAAATTTATGATTTTCCACACACTGAATCTACTTATTGAAGGGTTGTCTTAAATTAATTCCACGCCCTGCGCATGACCTGTCCCCTGGCACCTGCCCCCTCTACCACCTGCTCCTCCTGTTGCCTGCCCATCTCAACACCTGGCCCCAGCCACTGTGGAGCCAGTGACCCAGCACCTGCCCCCCACCCATTTATCTTCTGGTTTGGGGGCAGGAGGGGGGACACAGAGGGAGCAGAAGTGGTGAGCAGTGGTTGCAGCTCTGACTCTGAACCCAGGCTGGACTCAAAGTTGGAGATGCACTAGCTGCCTGCACCCCTGTACTGGAATCCAAGATGAGGGGCTTTTACCCCTCTATGTTAAATGGGGGAAAAATCCTTTTCTTGGATTTGAATAAATATGGTGAGTCGCACACAAAACCTACATTCTGGGTCCAAACTGCCTCAGTGTCCCTTTTGATCTGAGAAAAGAAAAACGCACCTCCTGAGATCAAAGAAAAAAATGTCATGCCGTAACCTTAAACAGGGGATAATATAATACATTTACTCTTCTACACTAAATCCAAATTATAACTGTTACCATTTAGTCTAGATAAATCTCAAGGAGCTTTCTATATAGTTACTAACCAACAGTAATGTTCCTTAAAAAAAGTGAAATGGTGGCACAGATGTGTAGCCCTTACAGGATACACTCTGGGTTCCTACATTATTACATTTTTTTTTTTTTTTTTTAGGTGTTGTAATTCCTTTTTAATATACCATGAAAAATGCAGCACCTCTCTCAATGCAGCACCTAAAAGGATGAATGTACCCGAATTATCACTCCGCTCTGTGCTAGCTGCCCCTGCCACCTACTGGTACAGCATGTAACATTATCTACCAATGCCAGGTCCCAGGGATATTTGCCCAAGGCAGTGGCTCTCAACCCTTTTAGACCAGAGGCACCCCTCAGAAAATGCCAGCTTTTAGTTTTCATGTGGTTTTACCATGGAAAAATAGAGCAATTGTTCTGCTGCAAACAACTCAGAAAGACCAAAACAGGTCTGCATGTTTTTTAACTCAGTGGAAACCTGTTTGAAATCTCTGGGTTTATCCTGTGACTCATGTTTGCACACTTAAGAATGCTAACAGTAGCCATGTCTACGTATGCATTTTAATGCATATTAGCTTATTTTAATGAGCATTAAAGCATCACAAAAAAAAGTGCTTTCGTTAATGCGCATTAAAATAGGTGAATGCACCTTTTATTAGTATGGAAGGTGCCTGTACATGAGTGTAGAGACTGTAATTACAGCGCGTTGGAGCAGACTTGTCTGCTGGAGTATGGTAATTACTGAGCTCCAGCAGCATCCCGTGTCTCATGTATCAGAGTCCCTAAACTTCAAAATGGCAGCAAGGGTGCCCGAGCTGGAGTTTGTTGAACGAGCTTTAGTTCAAGTGCCCCGCTGCGATTTTGAAGCTCAGGGATGCACTTCAGAGAGGCTCTCAGACCTGCTCTAAGTAAAGTGCTGCCCCCCCCTTACTCCCAAAACATGTGTAAAAGTATCCAGAGGTACTAAATTTAATGCACATTAGCAAAAGGGCATTAATGAACATGTAGATGTGCCCCCTGTGTGGCAACCCACAGCACCTCTGGAAGGATCTCAAAGCTTCCCAAAGTGGGATGGCGTCCTGTTGAGAATCACTGGCCTAACTCAACAGAACCCTGCATTAACTGTGTGGGTGAAGTTCACATTTTTTACTTCATTACTGCAGAAAAGCAACGAAAAAATTCAGTGATCAGTCACAGCCAATCTTTCAAATGGTAGGGAATGCCAGAAACAAGGTTGCCTATGCCACGTAGTTTGCCCTCCTGAGGCATATGTATTCTGTTATAGTCCTTAATGACATGATTGCATATTCTCTCCCTAATGTACTGCCTCAGGACCCCTGGTTTATTTGTTGCACAGAAAAGAGAACTATCGCTGAGCAGACAATAATACATCATTTGTTTTCCCTCCCACTGTTCAATGTGTGGTCCCTAGTCTAACTTATTCTGCTCTAAACACAGAGTTATTTGATTTCTCAAGGGCTTTTTTTACTGTGTGCATCACTGTTTCACAACTGATTTGCTTTCACACACTCCTGTAAAGTGAGGGGGACACCATTATATTGCGATTACAGATAGGAATTTGAGGCAGAGAGATAAGTTAAGGTCTGAAGTATCTACTAATTTTGAGTGTCTCATCCGAGCCAACTAGAATCTGATTTTTCAGAATACTTGGTGTTATTGATTCAAGAACAGCTCCCACTGCCTACAGTTGCATTTCTGAGTGCCCAATACTTCTTAAGTTAGTTGCCCAGAGAGGAGGGATACACAATGACTGCATATGAAGAGTTTTTGGTTTAAGTGATCTGCCCAGTCTCATACAGGAACTCTGAGGCAGAGGCAGGGATACCATCCCAATCCCCAGGGCAGTATTCAGCTGTCTGATTTGAGAGACCTTCCCTGCACCTTTCTGCAATCCTCTGCCTTGTTTATTAAGCCACCTTACAGACAACAGCTGTTTTTGCTACATAACCACAATTCTCCTTTGCGCACGTTTGAACAGTGGAGTTAATAAGGGAGAGGCCTTGCAGAAAAAATATTGTGCAATCACGTAATTAACGATATCATCATGCACATGCACAATGGGGACAATTTAAGGTTGCATAGGTAGCCTTAATTTGGCAACTCTTAATTTCTAGTGCTTTAGCTTGCCATATGAACAATATTCATTTAATTTAATGCACGGAGATTTTCCTAGGTTTAAAAGAAAAATCTGAAAGATGCAGACATTTTATATGGCACTATATTGACACCCACATCTCGTCAGCAAGGTTGGAACCTTCACACTAACTACACAGATCTCTGCTACTTGCAGTAAAGGGGTACTTAACAGCAACAGGAAGTTATTATCCTCTCTGTGAATCAGCACTAAAGGGGCAGGAAACAAATTTACAGTAGACTTGTCCATTCAGGATGGAAGTGTACATTCTTTTAAACATAGGGCAGGAGAACCCATCTTAGATTTTAAAAATAGTGTCTGAAACACAAGCAAGCATTTCAGAATAACTATAATGGGATATTACAGTTATGCTGTGCTCTGCCATAACTATAAAGGGATATTATAGTTATTTTTGAAATGCATACTCACGTTTCTTACATTTATGCAGAATACTTTTCATGTCTTTCACTTACCCAATGAACTCTAAAAGTAATGAGACATCAAGTTCTGGTGGGATTCGGAAAACTGATCCCAGGACTTTTCGTGGCCTTCCTCTGCTCACAGGGACTGGTTGTGGGATAGCTAAGGTAACAAAGCACCAAAAATACAAACAGCTTGAATTAAAAAGTAAAAAATCCATATCAGTGTCAGTCAGGCATAAATGATCACATAGCTCACCTATAATTATGTCATTATTTCTGTCCCATAGCCTCCGTATCGCAAGCGATTATTATTTGCTCCGAGTCAACAAGCCATCTCTCTGAATAACTCTTTAGAGACAACAATGGGATTGGAAGGCAATTTACACCAATCCTTTACCTTCTGGGGGCCTCTAAGGATTTTTAAGCTCTTAAAAAGGTACAGATAACAGCAAACATCTTTATCTTACAGATCTGGAATTACTTTTTATCCCAATTAATTTAATAAAACAAAAATTATGCATAGTACACATTTATTTCCTGGTGATAAACAAAGCATGTATTTTGTGATTGGACATGAGGAGAAGACAACAACAATTTGGATTGTAACTGGATCCAAAAAGGATTGAACTCTTTCCATGACCAGTCAATATGAAAGATTAGTGAGACAAGATTTTTCCCTTGCAGAAGTATCCTAACAAGTGGATATCTCCTAATGTATTAGAGGGTCAGTCCGAAAGAAAGGGGGCTAAAAGCTAACTCTGGTGCAGCTGAGAGTTTGTGCAGTCTGCGATTACACTGAATTTTGACTTAGGAATTCTGCTGCTCCAAAAAGGGCTGAACTCTCCCTGTGATCTGGCCAGAAGTTAAGCCATAACCCACTGGGCTGAACATCCCACTGGAGGAAACTGAAGCAGACCTCTTGCAGTGCTGTGCTGTGCTCTGCCATACCATACAGAGATGGCACTTTCACCACGATGACATATTATTGCTACCGATATAAACAATGCTGCACATTCCTGAATTAAGCAAGGCAGAAAGATATTTGTTGAATTTTTGTGCTGTAAGACCCTGCCAGATTGTCCCTTACTCAAGCATAATATGTGCATCTCTCTTACAGACATCACAACAAACAAGACTTGGCTCAAAGCAAACTGATTAAATGAAAGTGGAACTACACATCACTGGTTCATGCCTTGTAACAGCAAGCCACCACTCACACTAGTGTTAGGATTTAATTACATTTCAGCTTGAACATTGTACTTGCTACTCTAAAGTGATTATGAACTCACCTGGTTTAGGTACTTCTAGACCTCTTTCTTTGTAAAAGTCATGCATTTGCTTTTTCTCTCCTGAAAATAATGTAAAACAGGTTGGACTTTATCACATACAGCTAATATAATATATGGTTGTTTCTGACAACTAATTTCCAACAGATGGAAGAATTAAATAGCGTGAACAGATGCTTATTATGTGTTTCTAGGATAGCACTTTCATTAGCATTTCATATGAGAGAAACAATATTCAACAACATACAACAATTTAGCATCAGACTGTATGCTAGTGAAGCCAATTAGGATTTGGAGACTTGTCACAAAATATTTTGTTGTCTTAAGCAGTGCTGCATTCTATTCATTAGCTTAATCATACCTGGGGAAGTTAATATAGCCTCAGTGGGTTTTAAGTTTCCATATTTAGTTAATATACATACACAAAAGAAGCTAGCACATTACTGAATATCAGCCTGATATATACAGTTACCCAGGACATGTTCTAGTGTCCCAACTAATTTTAGAGAGAAACCCCAAATGCAACACTGCCAAGTGTAGAAATATAGTGCTCTGGATTAAGTAGCTACCAACTTTTTTATTCCAGTCCTTTCAACGTCATTACGTAATCAGAACACCAGGATAAAAAAGAATTGAAAAACAGGAGACTTACTTTCCTCCAAATTGACAACAAGTTTATACACTATGTCTTGTAACTGTCGGTCCAGCCTAACAAAAGAAAGGAAAAGAACGATTCTTAGTAACTTTTTGTATGAATGTCCCCTGCATAGTATTTAATAAATTGCAAAGCCTATTGTAATGAACACGAATTGCCTTATGTGTTAAGCGCAAAGCTTCTTACATTAATCATGACATTTTTTGCAGGGCTGCCAAACAGATTGCTAAACTTGGTGCATACCAACAAGACAGAGGGCTCAACTCCACCTCTGCATGTAGCTCTTATTGATAGCACCTGAGGAAAACAAACCACATGAGCTGAAAAAGCACTTCAGGAAAGCATGAAGTATACTTCAAAAGCTAATGTCAAATATCTTAGCTCAAAGCAGAACCTTTGACATATTTATGGGTTTTTCCCTTTAACCTGTTGATCAATACAGCTCATTTGGATATATCACCTGCAACAGCATGCTAATGCATAAGAAGCAGAAAATGATTCTACAGTGAAACTCAGTCTAATTGTCATTGTTGAACATTTTCTACAATACAGGTAAAGCATATACAACATACCGGTTTTTAAACTATTCTTTCAACTGCAGTGGTCAAGGATTATGCATCTCAAACAGAAATCTAAAAAGATTATTGAATATTTTTTAAAAAATCTAACATCCCATCCCTTTAACAGCAGACGCTTTAAAATAAAGGAAAACCCAGGAAATGAGATTACTATGTTACCTGATATTATAAAGAGGCTGTGTCTGATGTACAACAATGTTACATTTTGGACATCGGTTACTGTAGTAAAAATGTCTTACTATGCAGCTTTTACAAACTGTAAAGAAAAAGATTCAGAAGTTGTAAGTGTTTTGTACTCTGTAACGTTTACTGAAGATAATGCAGGAGGACAATTAGCTACAGACAATGTCAACTGTCTGGAAACAAATTAAGCAAAATGAATTAAGTCAACTTAATTTTAATGTATAATTTCACTTTGTAGACATTAACATTAAAGTGAATTTAAACTCATAAATCATGGTTGCCCCCGTCCCCCAATTCCTGTGCTCTGGGCAGTGTGCTCTGCTATGGGTGGGCAGACAGACAGACGCATGGGCTCAAATCCAAACTTTTCCACCTGCTTCATCCCCCAGCTTCTTGCACTTTCCTGAGGCTGGGGGGAGAGGCCATGAGGACACATGGTTCTGGACTCCACCATGCAACTCACTAGAAGAGCAACACAGCTGTGGCAACTTGCTAGAGCCAGAGTGGGGTTTCCGTCTCCCTCCCGTCATGGGGTCTGTTGCCCATCTGCCACTCTGCTGCCAGATGTCCCTGGGCTCTGTCTGTTTTGGCCCTGGGGCTGGAGTTCAGACAGGACTGCCCTGGGATCACTAAGGGCAGAAACTAGCCCACTGGTTTCTGGTCCCCAGCAATGACCTGGACCTATGCACAGGGAGTCCAGGTACCATGCTGAGAGAAGACATGCGTGAGGCTGGGCAGAGCCAAGAGGAGCAACCCAAGGAGTGATTATTGTACTTATGTTACATGTTATATTATAATACAGGAATGCCATTAATTAAGAATGTTTATTATAATATTTATACTATATTTATATGTTCTTGAAATAGGGTGCTACTACTTTCTGAAAACCTGTGGAGTGGAGCCTTGAGTCTAAAAAGTTTGAGAACCACTGGGTTAAGGAAAAGTTGTTTGAAATAAAATAAAAAAAGCTCAATCTTCAACTATTCTAGCACATCTGCCTGAATAAACCAGTGCTTTCTAAGTAGCAAGGCTACAGTAGTCTTCAACACTTGTTGGTTATAATTTCCTAGTGATACAAAGTAAGAATGAGTGAGTGATCCAAGATTGCAATTTTGCTAGGAAGAAGCCAGGTAAAGTCAATGAAATATTTAGCCTCTCTCAGTCTGTTACAGTTATAAAAGATGCTTTTCAGCAAATCTGTTAATAGTAGCATCTGAGAAACCAAGATAAGAGATTATAATATTGCTCTGTCCATTTCACTTTAATCCTGTTTCAAGACTAAGAAGTGGCATGTATTTAGCGAATACCAAATTAAGGTTTTATTCACTTATAAACTATAAAATCAACTTCATAATTAAGACCAGAAACATAAGTCTAGGGTTTTTTTAAAAGCATTTTTCCCTGATTCTTTATAAGTAAAGTTAAAATCTGTTGTTCAAACGCCTGCAGGAACACATCGTAAGACTGTCACGGTGTCCTGACAAATGTATTAAGTACTTTCCCAAACTACAAAGTACATGAAGATAATACAGCATATATCAAATTGGTGACAGTGCAGTCTCTCTCTGTCCAGGGTTCTCAGCACAAGCTCGAGAGATGGGATAGGGATACAGAAAAAAGTTCTCTTAGCCAGCCTTCCCGACGGATGTAAGAGGGTTTTACTAGCTTTCAGAGAGAACTGAATCCTATGGTCATCTGCTGGAGGAGTGGTTGTTATAACAAAAGGATTGTGAAAAGATTTAAAGAGAGAACAAGAGAGTGAAAACCAGACAGAATATAGGATGTGCGCCAGGGATTTTTCCATGCACCTGGAAATACTTTTGTGTCCTGCCACAGGGAAAAGCATGCAGCGAACAAGCTAACTTTAAACAGGCAATTCCATATGTGAAGCATGGAAATATTACCTCATTCTGATAGCTAATCTCTCTAGCCTTGAAACTAAATTTGTGAAATCAGCAGTACTTACAGGTATGAAGGCACTCTGTAATGGTTGTAGCATCTATAAAGTAACCTTTGCAGATGGAACACAAGATGTACGGATTCAACTCAGAAAGGTTTATCATACGCTAGAAAATACAATTGAAACAGTTTCAGAATACAGGTTAAACCAAATGTTTTACTCACTCTCATTTCTGAAGTCTAATACCCTTGATTTACATTATGGATGGAAAGTTTTGTGCCCACAAACAACACCTACTACTTATACTAAGTCTGCCCAAGTGACAATAGTTTTTCAAATAAGATCTTTCCAATATATCTCCATTTGTTTCTCTGCAAACACAGCAATTGAATTAATTTCAGAATAATTTCTGAAAAACAAGTAGAGTATAAGCAAATCCTGCAGGCAACTGAATAGTAATAATATAGGGAGTACTTCACTGGTTGCAATGAAGTAGAGGTTGGCAGCAATAGAAATCGTTACTTCAGGAGCGCTCAAACTGGACAGTGGTCCCTTGGTCCAGAAACTGAAAAAGTGCTTGTCTCCTAGATGCACTAGTTTCTAGATGCACTTAAATATGTGTCATATTAAAGGAAGAGCTGAAATTACACTGCTCTGGATTTTGATTATAAAGCGTGTTTATAAACCAGCCATTTTTTGCAGTAGTTCGTTAGCATGGATAAGTATGTCTTTCCTTACAGGATTAGAACAGAAGGTAGGATGGGGAAGCACCTTAGAGATCAGCTGGTTCAGGATAGTGTCCATCCTGAAATGCTGATTTTTCAAAAGCCTATTGCTCATTTTATAGTGTGGTGGTTTATAAAAGCCAACTTCTTTGACATATGTCAAGTGTCCAGCATGTTTGTTCTCTTGTCCCTTTGCCTACATCTAGTCATTGTTATCTCTAGCTCATTGCAATCTAGGACTCTGCAGTCAATCTCCAGCTTTTTCTTCCCTCTCTTCTATGAAGTTGGTCATCATTTTTCTCCATTCTCATCTATTCCAGGTCTTTCCACCTCACCGACCCTGGCTTACCACCAGTATCTGTTCTCTCGGGGCCTATTCTGATGCTCTCAGCATTTCTGCGAAAACTCGCACGTGCGCTGGGACTCCTTTCACAGTGCACAGAATCATAGACAATTTGGGTTGGAAAGGACCTCAGGAGGTCACATCTAGTCCAACCCCCGGCTCCAAGCAGGACCAGGCCCTGCTTGGAGCCCCCTGCCCCAAGCTGAACCCAGCACTCTTTCTTGCTTATGCAGGGGGTCGGACTCGATGATCTATTGAGGTCCCTTCCGACCCTAACATCTACGAATCTATGAACTACATCATCCCAGCCAAGGCTTTGTTGACCCGGGTCTTAAAAACCTCCAAGGATGGAGATTGCACCACCTCTCTGGGTAGTCTGTTCCAGTGCTTCACCGCCCTCCTTGTGAGAAAATTCTTCCTAATATCCAACTTCAATGTCCCTTGCTTCATTCATCATGCAGTTATCTTCTTCCCCTTTGCTTGGACCGTTTTCTCAATCAAACAGCACTCGTTGTTCGCTCCCACCAACTCCTATGCCAGTTCTAACCTCTGTCACTGTTGACAGCATCACTGTCCCCCTGATTGCTCCAAAAATTGGGGTGTCATCTTTGACTTTGAGGTCTCATCTCCTTACTCCAAAACAACCCGTGTCCTTTTTTTCCCTTCCCACATTAGTGACCTCCCCACCACCGCACCTCTGCAGCCTCACCCACCCCAAGTGTCCCGACGGACACCTGCTCCCCAGCATGCCAGCTTGGGGGGCGCTGCCAGGTCCCTGGAGCCAGGCCGCACCAGGGGCGAGGGGACTAGGCTCAGACTAACAGCACCACACTGCAGCGGCTCCCACCCGCGATGCTCACTTGACTTGACCCTGCAGGGCATCGTGGGAGCAGAGGGACCTGCCCTGCTCAGTACAAGGCACTGCAAGGCATGCTGGGAGCAGATGGGCCACCTCTCCCCCCAGTGTAGGGTGCTGCAAGGCATTTTGGGAGCAGAAGGACCACCTGTCACCCCCACCATATGTTGCAAGGCATTCTGGGAGCGGAGGCACCACTTGCCCCACTCAGCATGAGGTGCTGCAAGGCATTCTGGGAACAGATGGGCCACCTGCCCTCCCCGGGTATTCTGGGAGTGGAGGGGCCACCTGTCACCCCCTCAATGTGGTGTTGCAAGGCATTCTGGGAGCAAGGGGCCATGTGCCCCCCCCCCCAGTGTGGCATTGCATTCTGGGAGTGTAGGGACCACATGCCCCCACCCCGGGTGGGTTTGCAGGGCACTGTGGGAGCAAGGGGCCAGCTCCCCCCACTACGAAGTGTCGCAAGGCACTGTGAGAGCGAGGGGCCACGTGACCCCTCGTGTGGTGTTGCAAGGCATTGTAGGAACGAGGGGCCACATGCCCCCCCCAGGTGGTGTCGCAAGGCATTGTGGGCCCCGTCACCTCGCGGTCTTCGTCCGAGTCGAGCTCGTCGCCGCCGCCGCAGGCCCTGAAGCGGGCGCCGGGCCCGGTCGGCAGCTCCTCGTCCTCCAGCTCCTCGTCCTCGTCCTCCTCGTCCCCGTCCACGCTAGACTCGGAGCGGCTCCGCTCGAAGGCGAAGGGCAAGGCGCGGGCCCCGGAGCAGCCCGGGGCGCCCTCCACCTCCACGTCCTCGTCCTCGTCCCCGGGCGGGGCGGCGCCGCCGCCGTGTCCCCCGGACAACCCCGACACCATGGAGCCCGCGTCCATCTCCATCTCCATGGCGGGGGTGGAGGAAGATGGGCCACACGCGGGACCCGTCGCCCGGCGCAGCGCGAGGCACGGCGGGAAGTGTAGTCCGCGCGCGGAGCACTGGCGCATGCGCACCGAGCCCTCAGCATGCTGGGAACGGCGTTTCTTTTAAAGCAGCCTCGTGTGCGCATGCGCAAGCCTGCTCAAGGTCTCTTGGGAGGTGTAGTTTTTCTCCTGGTTAAGAATGAAGTCAAATTAAAAGCTAGAAAAGTTTTTCAAGTCCGGTAAAACCTTCCTTTCCAGAGAACCTTTAGCTGCCTTTCAGTTCAAGAAGTTTCTCCCTTAGTTCAGTCCCTGAGATGCCCCCACATCTGTTATTAGAGATCAGTTTTAAGGATGAAGATTTGAGACAGAGGAAAACGATAGTTTGTTGGGGGTCAAATACAGATGGAGTCGTCTCAATTAATGCAACAGCACATATGGCTTGACAGTGAAAAGGAAGCGTGAATGGGTAATACCATGAGAAGTGTGGTATTTTTCCCCCTTCTATTTACCACTATTTAGGGTTGCCAACCCTCCCAGCTCGGCCACGAGGCTACTGAAAGAGGCATCGATCTCCCAGTGACTATTGAAAGCAGTCTGGGAGATTTACATGTCGTTAGCGATTTAGCTAATGTTACGTCATGTTGGGGGGTGGGTGGGAAATCACTGTTATAAAACACAGAGCATGTTTTATTTCCTAATTCATCCCGAAAGGTCGCAGGAAACACTGATCCTAAAAGCTTGCAGGAAACATTGATCCCGAAAGTTTGCAGAAAACATTGATCCCGAAAACTTGCAGAAAAGGACACTTTTCTTGCGATCTTCCAGTTGTCCAAATAAAAGGTGTCATTTTGGAACCGACAGTGCTGGTTTTTTGTCTTTCCTAATGAACAACCCTATTGCCCAAAGGCACTCCCCAGGCTCCAGCCCCGCCCGCACGAATCCGAGCTCAGGCGGCCGCGCTCCCCTTGCTGTGCCGTAAAGGCGCGCCCGCCGTGTCGCAAAAGACGGGGTTGATGTGTGCCCGGATTGTCGCGAAGGTGCCGGCGCCTGGCGGCCGATGGCGGGCGACGCAAGATGGCGGCCGTGCCTGAGGAGCCGGCGGAGGTGGCGGTGAAGTCGGAGGCCGAGGACACTGCC